CTGCTAGATGTTTTAAGTTCTATCCATTGACTATTTTTATCTAATTTTTTTCAACCAAAATTACCAGTTACTGGTGGTATTTTCCAGGGTTCGGTATTTTGTTTTGTTGGTTTTTTTTTTTTTTTTTTTTTTTTTTTTTTTTTTTTTTTTTTTTTTATTTTGGTCTGTTTGCCATTGGTAAATAAGGAGGAACAAGCCAATTTATATGTGGCAATTGATTTGTTTTTCACTCAGGGAAATGAAAAATTTGGGCTGCATTTAGACAATTGGCGGTTCACTTGTAGGAATCTGCTGTGGAGGGGTCTTTGGGATGGTGTGGGGAATGATGTGTTATTTGGGAGATGCTGTGGCCCAGATGGTTGGTATGACCATGATGACAGGAGCTGCACACTCAAATATTAACATCTGTAACTGGTGGGCACGGGTTGCTGCTGCTGTGCTTTGCTCTCAAGGCTGTTGGGCAAATTCTTGTTGTACAACTTTGTTTCTGTTCACCATTATTTGAGGCAGGGAGTGGGAGTCTGAGTTATATCCTTCAGCTGAGCTCTTGGTTCAGCTGCAGTGAGTCCTGGTTGTCAAATACTCTTTTGCTCTGGGTCTCTAACTCAAATATCTTCTGAAGCTCAGATTTTATTCAGCTATTGCATGTAAACATCTCTTATATATAAGAAGTGGTATTGAATTTAAAGGGGTCAGAGAAACTGCTTTCACTGAGCTCTCGTGGATAACATGCTTATGATTCTCTGTATTCTGGTGGTAGAAAATGAAATGAATGTCTGGCACTGAAATTTTGCAGGAAAATCAGACCTGAAAATGCATGCAATTTCCTGTCCAGCACTGGCATTTCTGATATTTTCATTGCATGTATAATCCACTCAGCAGCTGAGGTTTTCTTCAGGCTTTTGAGGTGTTTTTGTTTCGTGCCAGACTGACAGCAGAAGGCTGCAATACAGCTCTGAAGTTTGGGGTTTGTTTCAAATGGAGCTTGGCTCCTTTTCTGCAGAGTGCTCTTTCTGTTGAGAAGATCATGAGCTTTACACAGGGGCAGCTCCAAAAGAACAGATGAGAGAAGTGATATGATTTGTTTAAACTGATCTTGTGGCACTTCACATCTCACTGTTAACAATCCCCTTCCCTGAGCTCCCTTTCCTTCCCCTCTGGTGAGGAGAATGCTCGCTTTGGAAATTGGTTTTCTTTACAGGAATTCAGTGTCGTTTAATTAACTACACAGAAAATTGTGAGCAGCTATACATGCTGATGTGTGTTTTTTAATTTACTTTATGCAATTGTAACAAAGCTTAGAGTATTCGCAATAGTAAAGAATTTTTTTTTTTTTTTTAGTTTGGTGGCATTTCTGTGTTGAGGCAACAATGACTTCACTTGGTAATTAAACCTCATTTGTGAAAGACCTTTTCCTTATTAATTTGATCCATTAAAGAAATGCTCTTTGAAGCTGGTAGTTAATCTTCCTATTTAAATTGCTGGGTTTTACTCAGATTGGTTACAGCTTAGGTTTAAATAGCAGCTAAAAATAGCCAACTGTTGTGCTGTACAGTTTAAACATCTATCTATAGTAGTTGCCTTTCTAGAAAGGAAACACATAGTAAAAGGGAGAGGAGATGCTGCCACTCAGGCAGCACTGGTTGGTTCCAGCATCCCCTTTTCCTTGGGTTTTGCCCATCAGCTCCAGCTGGCAGCACTTGATGATCTTACTGTGGGATTAATTTTTAACAGAAAGCACTATGGGCTGGATTTGAGCAGTGTTTTGGTTGGTAATTAATAATTCAATGGCTGTGAGAAGTTTTGACTGTTCCTGCTGAAGGCTGCTGCCGAGGGTGCTAAAACCTGGCAAAAATCTGGAAACTACCCAAAATATTTTCAAGAACATTAGGCTGTCAAAAAGCAAATACGAGAGCTGAAATCCCAACTTGTGAGGCTAGCGTCTATTTTCATCTCTTGAGTGCCCTGTGTGATTCACACAAGCCTGACAAACCTGTGGACTTGAAGTGCTCAGCTTGATTGCCAAAGCAGGGGACTTTTAACTTAAAAGTGTCTGCACGTGAAAAAGGAAGCTGTGACAAAACTGCAGGAATAAGGGTGGATGGCAAGCATTTACTTCCAGTAATTCTCTCTTGAGTTTTTGTTGTAGGATGAACATTTTGCCAGTGAAAGGATCTTGATTGAGTAGCTAGCAAAAATCTAAGGTCTAAAGGTGAATCTGTCTTAGGCAACAGAATTTCTTGTGCTATTGTTACAGTTTCAGCTGGGATAGAATGAATTTTCTTCCTAAGTAGTTGATGCAGGGCTGTGTTTTGGAGAATAGTGCTGACAGCACACTGAGGTTTTAGTTGTTGTTGCACAGTGCTTCCCCTGAGTTAAGGACTCCTCAGTTTCCCCTGCTGTGCCAGTGAGGAGATGCACAGGAAGGCAGGAGGGGAAAAACAAAGCCCAGCCAGGACAGCTGACCTGGACTGACCAAAGAGACATTCCAAACCACAGAGCATCGTGGCCAGTGTGTGAACTGGAGGAGTTGGCTGGGAGGTGCTGGGCCCTGCTCTGGGACAGGCTGGACATCAGTCAGAGGGTGTGGAGCAATTGCATCGAGCATCACTTGTCTGTCTTGAGTCTTGTTTCTTTCTTTATGTTGTCTCCTTTGTCATTGCAATGATTATTTTGTTTCAATTATTAAACTGTTTTTAAGTTGACCCACTAGTTTTACCTTCATTGCAGTTTTCCTCCCCATCCCACAAGGGTGGGACAGGTAGTGAGCAAACAGCTTTGTGGTACTTACTTGTGGGCTGGGGTTAAACCACGACAGTTAGCTTGAAATACCTTTGACAAAATAGAGTTACAATGAAATCTGGGTCCAAGAAAGAGGACAGATATTTTTTTCCCCCTCCACCCTTAATTTTCCACTAAGAGAAAAGGTACTTGAGACTTGTCTTCAGTAAGAAATATTTAATCAGTCAGGTTAAATAGCTAAAATATTTTTGCAGTATTGTTAAAGGTCAGCCTTTTCGTAATGGCTGTTTCCAGATATACCTGTATGTCAGGAGCCTCAAGCTTCTCAGACCAAGATATCCATCACTACAACAGAAACATCTTGTCACAGGGAAATTCAATGTGAAGAAATCTGCAATATGGGGATATATTGTCAGATATTTTAGGCTGCATTTCTAAAGGACATGGGCTTATAGTCACAGGAATCAATGGGACTATTGTATGTCAGAATTTTTTACAATTCCCGTAAGTTAGTTTTCCAAAGGTCTTTTATTACTATTATGTCAATCCATTAATGTTTTTCATTCCACAGCAATAGTTTTTCTTTGCTGGCAGGAGTAGGAGGAGAGGATGGTGGGGATAGCATATAGTTTTATCAAGTTGGTAAAAAGGAAGGTAATTGTAAAAGAGATTCTGATGGCTTATTTTGTCTTTTTCATGATTATTAAACTTTGTCCATATGTCAAGGCATTTGTGCTTCCAACATCCAACACGGTATTGTTATACTTGTGTTTCTGCTCAAGCTAAGCAAGGTTTTGGCCACTATGGGTAGCATGGCAGGTAAAGGACTGAAAATGTGGTTTGGGGTATGTATTTGCTAATACTGAAGAGGGGAGGTACAGATTAGATGTTAGGAAGAAGATCTTTGCTCTGAGGATGGTGAGGCCCTGGCACAGATTGCCCAGAGTAGCTGTGATTGCCCCATTACAGTGCTCCAGGCTAGGTTGGATGGGGCTGGGAGCAACCTGGGATAGTGGAATGTGTCTCTGCTCATGGCAGGGGGGTTGAAACTGGTTGATCTTGAAGGTCACTTCCAACCCAAACCATTCTGTGATTCATTGAATCTGGTTCATTATGTCCCAGGGATCATTCGTTCGTGAATTGCTTTGCTCTGTCATTTGTGGTACCTCTCACAAGATGTGTGCTAACTAAAAAGGACTTTTGCACAGATCCACAGACTTAGCAATGGGAATTTTGCAGTGGTAGTGGATGGCTTTAAAGTCTTGTGAAATCTTTAAAAAAGTAATTCCCAAACTGCATCTGCCTTTTATATCTCAGGTGAATGTAAAATGAAATCCGGGTGCCTTCAGAAGATGTAAATGTATAAAAAAAAAACCTTAATACAATAATAGTGTGTGGTTTTGTATTGTTCATTTAAAAATAAAAGCACATTTATTTCCTCAGGGATCACAGCAACACTGAATTCTTGTTTGCATGTGGGAAAATTTGGAGCTCCCATGTGAAATGTTTAGTTCAAAACTCATCTGATCAGATGCATGAGGCAGAAGTGACCCGGTGTGGGTGATGTGAAAATGGGGAATTCTCCCTGTTACTCACAGTCTTAACTGTTTCAGTGCTTTCTCTCAGTGAGCTGCTCTCTACCTCGTGTTCTGGAGGAGGCAGTGGAAGGAGAATGAGGTATTGTTTTCCAGTAGAGGGGAGACTCTGGAAGGGGCTTTTCTGGAGAAAGAGTGAATCACAGATTCATCATAGATTGTTTTGGGGAAGGGACTTTCTGGATTGCTTGAAAAGCAGCATATCTCATGTTAAATGAGTACCCCTGCTTATCTGACCTGTTAGGTGGGCTTTGTAAGGATGGTAAAAAAGGAAGAACTTGGAGAATATACGTGATACATGATGCTGGAGCATTGAGCTGGAAATTACCTACTCTGTGATTTGCTGAATGGGCTTGAAGGGTCAGGATTTGGAGGCTGAAGAGGCAGCACTCAAAGTATGAGATTAGCAGGAAGAATTCAGAGTATGAAAGTCTCTTTGAAGAGCTGATCTCGTTGGAAGACTGTGGGTTTGAATTTAATTCTGTCAGAGCCCAAACGGGGCAGAAGTTGATACAAAGAATTACACTTGCATTTTTAAACCTAATCTTTACATTATTCAACTTCCACAACTGGTTTCCTTGACTGCTGGGTAACTTAGTTTCAAAGACACTTAATCCCAGAGAGCTCACTTCCCTATCCTAACCCAAAACTTTGTTTCTATAGGATTAGCTCTGAGCGCAGGAAAGAGAAGTCCAGGGATGCAGCCCGGTGCAGGAGGAGCAAGGAGTCGGAAGTGTTCTACGAGCTGGCGCACCAGCTGCCTCTGCCCCACACCGTCAGCGCACACCTGGACAAGGCGTCCATCATGCGGCTGACCATCAGCTACCTGCGCATGAGGAAGCTGCTGGATGCTGGTGAGGGAGCAGCCTGGCACCAGCTGGGAGGGATATTGAGGAAGAATCTATTTGTAAGGCCTGTGAGCAGGAAAATAAATTAATGTGTCATTAGCTGTGTCCTTGCTCTGGGAAGGTGAGAGACCTTACAGTACAAATCGGCTATTAGCAATGAGGCAGGAAAATTCCACTGGACTTCACTTTTTCCCTTTCTGTTATGGTGATCCTGGTTGTCTCATCACAGCTGTCATGCCATTTTCAGTCTCATTTGTCCCTTCTCCCAAAGTTAGATTTCTTCATTTAAACCTCTTTTCCCTCTAAACTTGTTTGTTCCAGCTGTGCTTTCTTGACTGTAGGTAATTGGTTCAAGGTTCAACCTAACTATAGTTGTGTCCCCTTAAAATAAACTGCAAGGAATAGTTTTGTAAATCGTGTTTCTGTGATGTGCTCCTCTGGAGGTGAAGTCAGCTGAGGATGTGTTGTCTGCAGGAATATCTGAGTCAGGTTGTGGGCCTGTAGCTGATAGCCTGCCATGGTAATTTGTGCTCATGCATGTCTGCCTCTACTGTGTGGAGGAGTAACTTCAGTAGCCAGACTTGCAAAACACTCCCAGAAAGCCCCTAGACAAGTTTAGAATGCCTTTTTGAGATGGGTGATAATTTTTTTGCCACATAGGCCTTTTCCTTAAGGTGGAAGGTTTATTGGTTAATACATAACAGCACAGAGGGCTAACCTCACGCTGATTTTCTGTGATTTCTGATACCTTTACTAGAACTTGAAGAATTGAACTGATCATTTATCTTACTGAATCATACTGGTTTTGAATGGTCCTGCAAGATTGGCTCCTTGCAGACTGGTGCCAGAAGTCATTCCTGCTGGTAAGTGAAGAATGGCTGGTGTTTGCTTAAACAAAAATGTGTGGCTGCTTGCAGGTGAGCTGGAGACAGAAGCCAAAATGGAGAAGGAACTGAACTGTTTCTACTTGAAAGCTCTTGATGGCTTTGTCATGGTTCTGTCTGAAGATGGGGACATGATTTACATGTCTGAAAACGTGAACAAGTGTATGGGACTCACTCAGGTGAAATACTAACATTTCCTAAGATTGTTTCAAAAAGCTGTTCCATTTTTGTCTAAATGAAGTTTAACACCTTTATACCTCTTCATTTTTGCAGTTTGAGTTGACGGGGCACAGTGTATTCGATTTCACTCATCCATGTGACCACGAGGAGCTGAGAGAAATGCTTACACACAGAAATGGTGAGAAGAAAGAAAAAAAAAATCAATTTAATTTACTTATGGATAGTTTCTGTTGGCATTAATACAGTTGGCTATCTGCTGGAAAATGGTGTTGAGTTGAAAGGCTAATATATTTTTATGTCTTAAATCTCAAATTAAACCTTGTTGAGAGATACTAACAGCAGGAATCACCAAAATGTTTTGGCTATATCCAATTATAGAAGAAATGAGATTTCAGTACGATTCTTTAATCTAACAAAATTAATTACTAAAATGGAGTTTTTGAGGGCTGAAAGAATTAGTGCCTACAAGAATAAAATTAGAGGTAGGTTGAATGAGAATACAGCAATTGCTTAAAATCAGATGGACATGAAGAAGCTCAGTTGGTGCATTTGTCTTGGTCTGGCATTTCCTTCGCAGGACAGCTGAGAACAAATGCTTTCTTCCAGAAATCTGTGGTGGTATACCCAAGACAAAAAAAATAAAGATACTGTACTTAAAATTTAGGACACCAAGACACTGATCTGGGAATATTTGAACAGCCCCAAAAAAGGTTTTGGGGTTGATGCTTCTCTGCACGTTTTAATTGGTGCATGAAATTGGTATCTTTTCACAGATTTCTGGCTCTTCTTTTCTCCATCTGTGGGAGCAGAACACCATGTTTACATGCGCTGTGTGCTTTGAAATTTAACAATTGCCCATGAATTACAGCTTTTATGTCTTCTAAAGATTTGATAAAGGCTATAAAGACTTGGCAGCCTGCATGCCTCCAAACAAATCTGCTTTACTCAGTAGTTAGAAGCCTAAAATCTGACCTCTACTTTCTCTTTCATCAAATGAGTATTATATGGACTCTGAATTTAGATAGTAATAAATTAATAAAGCTGACCTCTGCTGTCTTGTAGCACTGTAAATCTTGTGTAAGTCTTGTGTTGTCATCCTATTTAATTCAGTGGAAAGGACCTGATAAGATACTATAGCATTAAGGGCCCGACTTTGATTTTGTAAGCATTTTGTGAATTTGTCTGCCTTTAGAATTGAAGTATGTTTCTAAGGCTAGATTAGATTCCTCCCCTGCCTCCCCCTTTGCAATACAATAATACATCTTGGGAGTGGGAGGACAATTTCCCTAAAGCAGTGTAAAAAACCTGCTTTTGTTACAAAAGCTTATTCTTAAAAATGTCGTATCACTGAGTTTCCTGCAAACCATCTTAAGCATGTCTAAATTGGCCAGACTGGAATCAGATGTCTGGAAACCATTATTACAAAAGCTGTTTTGCAAATGACATTGGCAGACAGAAGTCTAAATTACAGTAGTAATAGTACATTTTTATATTTATTAGTATTCCCAGGTTGCTTTCTTACTGCAGCTCTTACATCAGTGGAATTATTTTGGTTTTGAATTGAGTATTAAATATTCCCCTTTGGGACTGTACAAGTGCAAGTGAATATAAATGCAATTGGCAGAAACAGAACTGCATTCTCATTTTATGAAGCTGCTTTTTAAACTTTCAAAGCTGGCCATTTTAAAAAATAACGTCTGCTGCTGAATCAGACTTGAAAGTTGCTCCATCTTTTACAGCTGCTGCTTGAAGCAGAGCCTCATGCATCAGGACTTGGTAACAGTAATGTTATGTGATCATCAGCTATCAATTTCTAGATTGGTTTAACTCTTAAAACATGCTGAATTAAATAAATTTTTTTCTGCTTCTGTGAATTCTGCTTTAGTTTCTCCCCCACTTCCTCCATTATCAAGGTTGTTTTAAAGTAGCATAAAATATGCTTGAGTCCTTTAGTCTTTGCCTCTGGTCAAAGCAATAAACAAGTTAGCATAGGGGCTTTAACATTTTTCTAATTAGTTTTGTCAAGCCAGTATCTGCAGTGCAAGCCACCATGAAGAATTTCATAGCTACTATTGTCTGTGGAGGATGAGAGCAAATTATTGTATAAACTTGTATCAGAAGTAAGCTCATGTGTTCTAAACTTCCCCCTGCCACGATTTGGTCCTTGCTCTTTAGCAAGCCTCAGCAAACTGGCTCTTCCACTGCTCCTTCTCCTGGGTGCTGCATTACCTCCTTGCACACATTGTGAGCTGCTAGCAGCTCTCCTGATAACATCAGTTACATTTTCTTTGCCCACAATAGCATAACTAGTAATTGACTCTGCAAGGTTCCCCTCTGTGCAGGCAAAAACTTAACTTAAAGCCTGCTGGTAGAGAGTAAAAAATATGTGCTGCCAATGTTGATTTGTATTAGGGTTTCTCAACTTTTTTCCTCCCAAGAATGTTAATAATGTGTTTAAAAACTTGGCCTCTGTTTATTCCAAGAGTGTAAATCACTGTGGAAATACTTGGATGCATATAAACAGCTGAGTTGTTAGTTTTCAATTGAAAAACTTGCAGTCCTGAAGAGCAACGAGCCCAAAAAGTGCTTTGAACTAACTAATAGTGAATTATTGATGCATTTCAGTGGAAGCCACCTCAACAAGGCTTCTTATTCTACATATGTTTTCTTTGTCCTCTGTCACAATTTTAAAATATATTGAATTTTCAATTGGTCTCGCTTTCTTCCTGCTCCATTTTCCTGAAATCTGGGAGTGTGGAATTGGCTACAAATACAATCCTGATCTTAATTTATTGAAGCTGGGTTGCATCAAAAGCCTCTCCGTTGAGGACAGACTGAGAGAGGGCTGGGTTTGTTCACCCAGGAAAAGAAATAGCTCTGGGGAGATCTTTGAGTCTTTTCCTATACCTAAAAGGGCTCCAAAAGAGCTGGAGAGGGACTTTGGACAAGGGGCCTGGAGTGACAGGACAAGGGGTATGGCTTCCTACTGGCTGAGGACAGGCTTAGATGGTTTTTGGGAAGGAATTCTTCCCACTGAGGATGCTGAGGCCCTGGCACAGGGTGCCCAGAGGAGCTGTGGATGCCCCATCCCTGGCAGTGTTCCAGGCCAGGTTGGATGGGACTTGGGATAGTGGAAGGTGTCCCTGCCCATGGCAGGAAGGTTGGAATGAGATGGTCTTTAAGGTCACTCCCAACACAAACCATTCTATAATTCTATGAAACTTCAGAAGTTTTTTTATCTACTTGATAGTAGAACTTACTCTGAAAAATACCATTATCAGAAGTGCTATTAGGTGAATGAGTACTTTTAGTTTGTTTTTTGGGTCTTCCCTTAGTCTTAGATTTCTAGAAGGTGTTTGTGGAGGTTTTTTTAATGCCTTTGGAAGATGATCCAAGTGTTTTAAGAATGGGTTTGCTGTTTGCTTCTGCTAGGTCCTGTGAAAAAGGGCAAAGAGCAAAACACGGAGCGCAGCTTTTTTCTCAGAATGAAGTGTACACTGACTAGCAGGGGAAGAACAGTGAATATAAAGTCTGCTACATGGAAGGTAACTAATGCAAAGGAATATTTGCATAGTTTGGCAGCTTCCTCTTCAGATGTCCTAACACTGTATTTCAACATTTTTGCTTCATGTTACAAGCTTGAATTTCACTAAGTACTTTATAATTTAATAATTGTGCTTCATTATGCTGAATTTTAATGCTGACTACATCACAGAGGTAACTGAAACAATGTTTTAAAATTAGTTTTTCAAAACTCTTTTAATGAATTTTCCATTTTAAATCATAGGTCATTTACTTACAAACAATTATAATTACCAAATATGTTTGCATAAAGCCCTCTCTGGGAAAAAAATACTTGACATCACTTATGCTGATGCCTGATTTCTTTTGATTTGTCACTGAAAATGTGATAGTTGAGGTCTCTCTGAAGGACTTCAATGCCACTCTTTTGAAGCTACTGGTTCTCCCTTTTGTAGCATTTGGAACAAAAAGAGGCCAGCCCTATAACTTTCTGCAGTGAATGCATTTTCTCCTCTGGACAAAGTAACCTTTTACTGTATCCAGTGGATTATGGTTCACAGTTTTCTTTTATGATTTTAATTTGATTTTTCTGGATCAAACAACTTCTTTGCTGCTGTCTGTGAACTATTTCTGCTTCAGAATGGTTAAAAGAAAACTCCACAAAATGCAAAAGTTCCTGTCTGATGAAGAATGTATTTGATCTCTGTCATCAGCTCTGCAGAATATCTAAAATGGGGATTTCTACTATTACCATAACTTTAAATTGTGATTTAAATTATGGATGCCTTTTGCTGAGGCAGCTGGTCATCAGAGTTGACGTTACAGTGACTAGAAAGAAGAGTTCACAGAAATGCAGCAATGTCTGGTGTTGCTTCAGCCAGTGCTGAGGAAGGAGTTGGGCTGTGAACCCATCCCAGGATGTGTGGGGTGAGGAGGAGGACACTGCTCTCCTCCAGCCATCTCTTGTCACTGTCCCCTTGAGGGGTGGGGAAGGACTTGGCTCCTGGTGTGCTGGTGGAAGTAGGATTGTGTTGTCTGACAGACCAAACCTCATCTCCTTCTAAAACCCAACTGCTCTGCAGGTGCTGCACTGCACTGGCCACATCCGTGTGTACGACACGTGTGGGAACCAGACCCACTGCGGGTACAAAAAGCCTCCCATGACCTGCCTGGTGTTGATCTGTGAACCTATTCCTCACCCGTCAAACATTGAGGTCCCCCTGGACAGTAAAACGTTCCTCAGTCGTCACAGTCTTGATATGAAATTTTCCTATTGTGATGAAAGGTAATATATATGATTTATACTGTAAAAAATCATTCATTTGAAAGATTTGCAGGGCTGATACATAGCTAATGTTTGCCTTCTCAATAACTTGATTTATCTTGACAATGCAATCATTGATGGCATGCTTGGCCTTTTCCTAACTGATCAGGATGTCTTAAAAGCCAGGTTTTTAGATCTAAGGAGGATGCAGGGTTATTACTTTGGAATAACAAAAGGGAAAGGGACTTTTTATACAGGCAGATAGTGACAGGACAATGGCTGTAAACTGACAGAGGGTGTGTTTAGATTAGGTATTAGGAGGAGGAAATTCTTGACAAGGAGCTGTGGCTACCCCATCCCTTAAGGTGTTCCAGGCGAGGCTGGATGGAACCTGCTCTAGTGAAATGTGTCCCTGCCCGTGGCAGGGATTTGGAACAGGATATGCCTTCCAACCCAAGCCATTCTATGATTTGATGAATAAATCCTTTGCCTTCAGTTAACTGCCTCTTCAAATTGTTCTTTACTATAGTGGCAGTGATTTAAATTGAAATGAGAAGATTCTTCCAGACACTGATTAGGTTTGTCAAAGATGGAGCATTTTGGTGACTGAAAAACTGAAGAGAGTGTGCGTGTAACACTCGTCAGATGTATTTTATTGCTATTGTGTCTCCCCCTCTCCCTTTCTCAGGGGATCAGTGTCTGCTTTCTTCTGTCAAAAAAACCCCAGACATTCAGCTGTACTTATAATGCAATACATCTGCTGTTGAAAAATGAGATTTTGTGTTTTGGTGCAAGTCAGGGTGTAGTCAGACACATCAGACTGATTTTCCTATCCTCTGGGAACTTAGCTTGATAAATTTGATAAATGCAAATGAAGGAAGTAGTCAGCTCAAGTTTGGGGTTCGATTGTTTTGTTTGTTTGTTTTTAATTTGGTGTTATTTGTTAATACCCATTTCCTTTCTTTTATAACAAAAGTGAATTTCTAGTTAGTTGTTGCAGTTAGATGCTGAAAGAGGTCGATGCATGGTAATTTCTGAACTATGCAGTAACAACCTTTCTAAGACTGATGGTGTCACATAAAAGGTACTTATTTGGTCACATTCTGCAGCTACACTGGGGCAAAATACAAGCACTTCCCTGGTTAGCACTGCCCTCTAGAGACTAAAGAAATCCCACTTGCCTTAAAAGCAGACTGTGCTTGAGTGGGAAGAGTAAATTTGATTCCTAATTTCTCTTAGTTGCAGGATTAAAACTGTTGAAGTGTATCTTTATTATTTTGTTAAATTCTCATATTTGCCTAAGGTGGTCTGTAAGTAGCTGGTCTACCTTGAAGCAAAAAGACAAAATGTCTAAAAGGTGGGGATTTGTTTAATCCTATCCCCACTACATGACTTATAAATACTCAGTGAGAAGTAAAATCCTCTGCCTGCTGAAATTTCTCCTTTAAAGAAGCATCAAAATAGCAATTTATTTCAAAATGAAAAGTCTCAATTTGCTGCTGATAAGTGTGGAAGTGTTTCTTAAGGTTTTTCTAGATGTGCAAGCATCCAAATGCTCTGGTATTTGTGTTGGCTCATGTCTGCTTTCACATAGCAATTTTTTCCCTTGTTTTAAAGAATTACAGAGTTGATGGGGTATGAGCCAGAGGAGCTCCTGGGTCGCTCAATCTATGAGTACTATCACGCACTGGATTCTGATCATCTGACCAAAACACACCACGACAGTAAGTGAAAACTGAATTTAAAGCCCTCACACTGCAGGAGGTGAGAGACAGCCCTGGGGGAAAGCAGCAGAAGAACGAGGGCTTTCTTTTAGTTGCAGATAGGAATCTGCAATGAATACTGACCTCAAACAGTTTTGGGGGTTTTTTGCCTGTAATTGAAGCTGGTGTCCTTTCTGCTTTTAGTGTTCACAAAAGGGCAGGTGACAACAGGACAGTACAGAATGCTGGCCAAACAAGGTGGCTATGTCTGGGTTGAAACTCAAGCAACTGTTATATACAACACTAAGAATTCTCAGCCACAGTGCATAGTGTGTGTGAACTACGTGTTGAGGTAAGTTGAGTGGAGTTCAGTGTTCTTTGTCATCATTTTTACTGAAGATCAAGTCAGATTCTGATGGCATTGGTCCCCTGCTGAGTATGTTATGATGTTACTGTTCCCTACCAGTGAATATTTTCTTAGAATACTGCCAGTCCTAGGATTAGAAACTGTGTTTGAGAACAAAATGCTTTTTTGGTCTAGTGAAGTCAGTGGATGATCTCTGCAGGCAAATGAGTGTAGAACCAGCCTCTTCTGTATGATTGGAAGCACTTGAGTATTTGCATTCTAGACAACTCTCTAATTTTTGTCCCAAGTCTGGAGCAGTTAATTCCACTAATAACTTTGTCATGGAGTCAGAGCAGCACTAGGGTGTCATTCTCAATCCCATCTATCTTTTTATTCCTTAGAACTCTTCTTTTAATTGAAAGCTTCAGCTGAGGGCAGACTGGTTGACTATTCTTCTGCAAATGTCTAACAGTCCTAAATTAGTTTTTCAAAAGTTCAGTGAATGTCCCAATATAAGTCTATCAAGATACTGCACGTTCATTTAAAACAAAGAAAAGTAGTTTAGGAAATAGCTAACTTTTTTCCCATTTTAAAAATCTTCTCCATTTTCAATGCTTTCAGAAAAGGATGTTTATGTTTGTTACTTTTTTATGATTGGGCCACAGTTAGTGCTTGCTTGCTTTGTCTATTACTTTTGAGGAAAGAATGAGTAACAAAAAATTCTCAAAGCTCTTATCCTGGTAATTTTGTGGGATATGTGTGATGGGGTGTTTTTGTTTGGTTTGGAGTTTTTGGGTGGGGAGAGTGAGTGGGTTTCAACCTACAAAACTATTAGGCCAGAACTTATTCCTTTTAGCTGCTCTTTAACAGTCATCTTCTTCTCTGTCTGACAGTGGAATTGTTCAGAAGGACTTAATTTTTTCCCTTGGACAAACTGAGTGTATGCTGAAACCAGTGGAGTCTCCTGACATGAAAATGACCAAAATATTCAGTAAAGATGACCTGGATGATACCAACAGCCTATTTGAAAAACTTAAACAGGAACCAGATGCTTTAACTGTGCTAGCCCCAGCTGCTGGAGACACAATTATCTCTCTAGATTTCAGCAGTAATGGTGGGTGTGTGTTTAAATTGGAGAGCATGTTAATTAGCAAAGTTACTTTTTGTCGTAGATTTCATAAAATAACCTCCCAGTACCACTTGTCCGGTGGTATTTCAGCTGCTGTTTCAATTTAATGAGGTCCATAGACACACACAGTACTGTTACTTAGGTTGATGGTTTCTTTTAATTTTTATAGAGTCTGATGAACAACAATGTGATGAAGTTCCTTTGTATAATGATGTAATGCTCCCCTCATCCAGTGAGAAATTGCAGAATATAAATATGGCAATGTCCCCACTACCTGCCTCTGAAACTACAAAGCCACTTCGTAGCAATGCTGATCCTGCACTCAATAGAGAAGTTGTATCAAAGCTGGAGCCAAACACAGAGCCGCTCGAACTTTCTTTTACCATGCCTCAGGTGCAAGAACAACCAACCAGCCCATCTGATGCAAGTACCAGCCAAAGTTCACCTGAGGTGAGTTTCGTAATTTGGATATGTTGTCATTAAAATGGATGTGCTGTTGGGGCTTGTGGGGCAGATCTGGTTAAGGATGCAGCCAGGACAGGGATTGGAAATTATTTCTACCTTATGACTTAAGCTCACACCATGATCTGAGGAAGCTGATAAATTGTCATATCTTTGCATTAAAGTGAGTCTTGCAAATGTATGCAGTACTATCTGACAGAAATAAGGAGAGCTTGGGATTGGTCTTTTTCATTCAGTTAGTTCAGATACAACTTCCCTAAACAGCAAACTATTTACTGTGAATTATTGCAGAAGCTATATCTACTCATTTAGTCGTGTAAGTTTCAACTAAGTAAGTCAGTGTAGGTTTCAAATAAGCAAGTGCTTCTCTGGTGGGGTAAATTTGAATGTATACACATAAATGTGTTTTCCTTTTCCATTTTAACTTCGTGCAGCTACAGCTTGGGATTAGTTTCTACATTAGAACATCTTGCACAGAATCTGTAGGCAACAATGCCAAAGTGACAGAAAGCTAAAACTGTGTTCAAAATATTTTCACAGCCCAGTAGTCCCAACGACTACTGCTTTGATGTGGATAATGATATGGCCAGTGAGTTCAAACTGGAATTAGTGGAGAAACTCTTTGCCATAGATACAGAAGCAAAAAATCCATTCTCTACTCAGGTAACGTACAGTAACTTAAAATGTTTTATCATCTTATTCTGAGTGTACTTATTTTCCTTTCTATAATGTTTTCAGGAACCTCCTTCCCTTTTTACGTAATATTTTGATTAAAGTGTAAAATAAAAATAAATTTCTAAGGATTTGGTGAAAGGAAAAGCCTTGATGAAGTCATAGCTGAAGTTTCTTCCACGCTGCTAAGTTCCACCTCTTGTCCATTGCAGGAAACGGATTTAGATTTAGAGATGTTGGCTCCTTACATCCCGATGGATGACGACTTCCAGCTGCGCTCCTTCGACCAGCTGTCCCCGCTGGAAAGCAGCAGCTCCTCCGGCTCTCCGAGCGCAGCCCCCGTCCCCATCTTCCAGCAGGGCCAGGCGGCAGCGGGCAGCGCCGAGGAGGTGAAGCCGGCGGAGCGCGCGGACGACGTGAAGCCGATCGTTGTCCCTTCCTCGCCCGCGCGCGGGGTCCCCGAGCCCAGCAGTGCCCCCGCCTCGCCCTACGGCGGGAGCAGGAGTCGGACTGCCTCTCCCATCAGGGCAGGGAAAGCAACAGCGGATCAGGTGGAAAAGCCTTCTCCAGGAGCACCCAGCTTGCTAACAGTCACTCTGAATGAAAGGTATTTTAAAAGCGCTGCTTAAGCTCTGATATCTGTCTGAGGAATTAGATATAAATTTTGTGTGTTCATCCTCAGCGTTCTTCAGAATAGAAATTGAGTTACTTAAATTTGGACATGTCAAATGAGTCTTTTTTTAATAGCAAACTCCCCTAAAGGTAATTTCATGGTAGCTTTTACCTAAGCACCTCATGTAAAAGCCAGCTACTGTAAAAATTCTGTTCTGCTCTTGTGCCTGATGTGCAGCCTTTGTAAAAATATAAGCAGTTTAAGTAGTTACACCCACACAATGTTTCTGGTGCTTTCTGTGTCCACTGTGTTAGAGGTAATAGGCAACTACAGTCTGTGCTACAGATACTGCAGATATCAGATATACAGATATCTACAAGCAGTAGATACAGCTTTTCAAACTAAATTTGTTTTGTGATGGTCTGTGATGCCTGTAGTACATATTTATCACAACAGAAAACTATATTAAATCAAACATGAGATTTATGATATGTAAAAGATTTATCTGTACATAGAAATATTCAGAATAGACTTTCCCTCACCCTTCCTTCCCTTTTTTTCTGTTGATAGTGAACTGCTGAGCCTTTATGCTTTTTTTTCTGCAGATTTAAAAATTTTTGTTAAAACTCATTCTGAGCTTCACAGCAAGATTAAAGGCTCACATTTGCTATGCTCATAGAAAATGATTGTTGAAATAAGTCAATTTATGAATGAAAAGTAGTGGAGTTCATAAATTCAGTTCTGTGATGTTGTATATAAAAGTATCCACAAAAGAAGAATGGCTCGAGGAAAGTAGAAACGTCTTAACAGCCTGAATCAATTTTTCTTAGATCTACTGCACTGGATGAAGAACTAAATCCAAAGATGCTAGCTTTGCATAATGCTCAGAGAAAACGAAAAATGGAACATGATGGTTCACTTTTTCAGGCAGTTGGAATTGTGAGTTTTGTTTTACCGTTTTAAAATATTCACTTTTAACCTTGCAATTTCTGAAATGAGGCATCAGTGCAGACTCCTGACTTGAGCTGTTGGTAAGCAGTGGAATCTTGGGATGAGAAATAATTTTTATATATATATATGTGTGTGTGTATATATATATATATATATATATATGCAGATACTCCACTTTTAGTTCTCTTTTACTGTCAACTTTTCAAAAGTGCCCTCTACACCCATGTGCATTTCTTTATTAGAAACATATGTGACCATGTGTTTCTTTAGTAGAATATGCATAAATGTCAGACATCACATTTGAATGTGAATTGCTGTATATATTTAACTTTTGAATTCAAACCCATTTTCATATTTGTCAACACTGAAGATAAGTGTTCTTATGCTTCTTCCTATGGTTTTGCTTTTCCATTGGGTCTGAGAATCCTTTACTTAATCAGATGACAAGACCATCTGAACTGTGAGGGAAGAGAGCTCCTATAATAACCTAGCTAATGTCTATTACTGCCACTCCCTTTCATGCATGCCCTCTCTGGTATTAGTGTGGGAATTTGGGAGTAGCTCATCCTCATCTGCTCTAGCTATTCAAAAGAAACTTTGTAGATAGACCTAGATTTGTGTCACTTGATTGGGGGTTGTCCAGCTTATTATTTTCAGCAAGGGTACATTGTCTCCATCATCTTTGTCTCACTCTCAGTTCTCAGTATTTTGAAACCTCAAGCTTTGCCATTGTACACTGTTCTCTGTCTCTCATCTTCACTGCAAATTCCTACTTGTCAAGTTTTCAGAAGTCTTAGTCTTAATTCCTCTACTGCAATGTAGCCTTTGAGTTTCTTTGTTTCTCTACTGGACCACCTCCTAGTTGTAGTCATCAACTATATCTTACAGTGCAGGATTATTTTCCTCTGAACTCTCCTTACTCCTGTACTAGTATTCTGGTCTGGGCATAAGACAAATCCGTTTTTCTATGCTATTTCATTGTGGTTGTTTTCATTTGCTAAATGCTTTGCACTTCCATACATGTTGTTCTGCTGCTTCCAGAAGCCCTGTAAGAATTCACAGCTCTGCAAGAGATGTTATTGCCTTCCACTGGCCTTTTCTCATTCAAAAGTGCTACAGCTTATAGTGTTGCTGATAAAATATTCAGAACAGTATGGAATGTCATTAAATGCACAGAACACAAGCAGTTCAGTGTTAACTGCTGGAATACTGTTCAGGCTTCTGTGCTTAGTGCCATTTTAATGCTTAGAGGTTCAGTCTTCATCCTATGCTAAACTTTTTCTTTTGTCTGTATCTGACAAAAGTGTTTCAAATATTTTGATGGTTTCTCAGAGTTAGAAGCTGAATTCTGTGAAGCTGGGTCTTAGTGGAGTTATTTTAAGAAGTGCTTTTGTTGTTTGGGTTCTCTGTCCACCATGGATTTCTGGGAGGATATACAGGCCTTTCACACAAGCAGAAGAAAAATGATGTTAAATCCAGGCTTAGAATATGTGCTGTTCTGGGGCTGTACAAACACTTGCCACAACATTATAGCTCTAGGGAAGTGGGATGTATTTTGCAAAGAGTGAAAATAAGTGAAGACCAAAGTAAAATACTACTTTAGCTTCCTAGAAAACAGGAAAATAAGACAAGGACAAGATAACAGTAAGGTTATAGAATATTGTGTTATAGTGAGGTTGTAAAATTATACAAATCATTACACTGGAAAAGTTACAAGCCTTATCTTTCTCAACATGAAGGGCTGGAGTGCATTCATGGTAAAAAATAAGCAGCAGCAGCAATGTAGGTGACTAATCTCAGTATGAACTGCTGCTCTGAGTTAACTATAACTTCTACTATACAGCTGCTCCTTTGACTTACACAGGTGTTTTATAACCTGAAAACATGTGCTCTTCACTATTTTGAGGATAATGGCAGTGTTGTGAAATCCCTTCTCCTCTTTTTGCAGCAGTCAGTATCTCTAACAAGACCAAACTTTGCAGATTCAAATACTTTTGCCAGCAGACTTGATACGAAGATGGTGCTTTTTCCTTCCATCCCATCTGTTTCAGTGGCAACTTCTTCTTCCTTATCCCAATTATATGAAGCCCTTACAGCTTCCTAATCTCCATATCTTCTGTTCTGCTGTCAAAACAATGCTAAGGAGTCATATCTGCACTAGGCTGGTGTAGGACTGCATTTTCCACAAGGCTTGGTGGCAATAACTGGAGTGCAAGCAGAATTTACATCCTAAATGTGTAGATAGAATCGACCTACTGAGGTTCCTGACTCTCCTGCCTACACTATTAATTCAAGTGCAGAAAGCCATTAGAGACTCCAGTGAAAACCTGATGCTTACTCAGCCCAGACCAGTGGTAGTTAAATGGGTGTGTTTGTGTACATGTCCACACTAATCTTGAGCATGGTAACTGATGATAACCAGGATTTAGTAATTGATGTCTCTAAGGGAAGTCAGGTCTTAAAACTTGATTCAGTTTTCTGTTAAATAATTTTCAAGTTAGTGTACTTGGAAATATATTTCTCCCCAAATTCTGAACAAAATCCACTTTAAATTGTAACAGTTCCATATTAGTGACAGGAATTGTTCATTTGTAAGAGGGACGTGAAGGGTTATAAAGATACAATATTCACTAAAGAAGATTTAATTTTATTTCTTTCTAGGGGTCTTTATTCCAGCAGACAGGTGACCGTGGAGGAAGTGCATCACTTGCTTGGAAACGTGTAAAGGGATGCAAAACAAATGGTCACAGTGGAGTGGAGCAAAAGACAATCATTCTACTATCAACTGGTTGGTATCTTCCCTTCCTAGGCAGAGGGGGTGGAGGGGGCTGTGTGAAAGAGAACAGAGCCTCCAAAACTATCCAAACATAGCTCCTTGTGAACAGCTCTAGGAGAGGTTAAGCATGGTGAATAAAGTGCACTTTTTCTCCTTCCCCTCCCTCTTTAGACATAGCAAGTAAACTTCTAGGGCAGTCGATGGATGAGAGTGGACTCCCCCAACTCACGAGTTACGACTGCGAAGTAAACGCTCCCGTACAGGGCAACAGAAACCTGCTACAGGGGGAAGAACTGCTCAGAGCTCTGGATCAAGTTAACTGAGCTTTCACAAAATTTGCTCCTTTTTTGGACACTGGTGAATCATCACCTAAAGCAGTCTATTTATATTTTCTATATCTGATTTTAGAAGCCTGGCTACAGTACTGCACTAATTCAGTTAGTTCAGTTTTGATCCCCTTTCTACTTATTTTGACAGTCTTTTTAATATGTTCTTTATGTAACAATAACTCAAACTCTAGTGCATTTTTATAATTCTTTGGTACATACACTTTTAAGTCCATTACATTTAAAACACACTTGCAATAGCAGCTTTGAAATATGCACCTGATTAAAAAAAATATTTATTTTTTGGCTGGGGAGTTGGTCACCAAAACTTATCATTAGTAAAATGTCAACACAGGAAAAACTGGCAATACTTCCATCCTGCTTTTCATAGGTAGTTGGAAGACTTGTGCTCTCTTACTCTTTATGTTCAAGTAAGTTTTTTATGTTAATAGTTTTTATAAGAAACAACAATGCTTTGCAGCGGTGCATTGTAGCCACAATCGCACAATATATTTTCTTAAAAAATACCAGCAGTTCCTCATGCAATATATTCTGCATTTATAAAAACTAGTTTTTAAGAAGAATCTTTTGTTTGCCTATGAAAACATGTTTAAACCTGGATTATGTCCTTATTTTAGTCATGTTGTAATATAAATTGTTCTCAAATGCTGTCTTATGCTTTTGACTTCAGTGGGTGTGGTTAGTCAAAGGAAAGGCTTTATCTGGGAAGGGCTAGCAGCATTTTCTTTGGATACGTTCTCAATTTAGAGAAAGTTTGATGTTCTTAAAGTAGTCACTTTGCCAGCTTAAAAAAAAATCCCTGCCTGTAGTTGTTGAAGTTAATGCTAATATTGTGTATGATCTTAAATCTAAATGTTCAGCTTACCCTGTGTGGTATAGGTGATATTTCAAGCAGATTGTAAAACATCTTGCATTGTTAGCAAACTTTTATCTAGTACATCATTGAGTTGCTCAATATTTTGATGTTTTGGTTTTATGCACCTTGTTGCTATTAACATCCATACGTTTTCATGTAGATTTCAATAACTTGAATATATTTAGAAGCCTTTTTATTTAGAAATATATAGTTGTCACAAACATCTTATTTTCCTATATGTACTGTACAAAACCTTCATTCACTCCTTCTTTTTGCTCTTTGTGGTTGGATCTAACACTAACTGTATTGTTTTCTTACATCAATAAACTATATGTGGACCAGGCCCCCTTGGGGAGTGTGTTATCTGAGAGAAATGAGATAATTTATATTTTTGTTAGTGGTTATTGTTCATCCGTGTTCCCTTTTTAACTTAGAGTTGATTGGAAACTACTGCTTCCTTATTTTGATTGTAACATCTCTGCGTTAATTATTTGAGCCTGTTCAGTACTGAAGTCTCCCAGACAGTGTTGTACTACCACTCGCCAAAGACGTTATACTTCTCAACCTGTAATCACACCAGTGAGCAAACCTGGCAGCGAGGAGGCAGCAGCTTTGTTTTACTTTAGAGCAGGAAGAGTTCATCTTTATGAACAGCTTAAAGGCTTGTCTCTGGAAGCTTTATCAAGGTAACACAGGAAAGCAGGAAAAGGTAAAATTCACAGGAGTGATTGATCTGAGATGGATTTCTATCACAAAACTCCATGATTAAAAAATTAAGCTGGTACTTGATGAAACTTGTTCCCCATTTTTGTGCTGTTGACCCAGTGACTTTCCTCATTTTGCTGTATAAAACACAGCACTACTGGTAACCCTGTGTTGTGTAAATATGGTCAAGATATTCTGTGCATTCTCCAAACTATTTTCACAAAACTTATATTGAGATAAGTAATTGATCATGGTGTGTCACAGGAGTTACATAGGGTTTTATGTTGTAAACTTTTAGGTTTCATAGCACTGTTTTGAAATCAATGTCATAGTACATAAGCGTAACCTGTTCTCTAAAATTATTGTTTCACTGAAAGGAGCACTTTCCAAACTGCCACAACTCTGTGAAACTAAAAGGACACCATTAACAAAAAATGATAAGGCACTGACAGCAGAAGATAGTTGCACACTTGTTAAAGTTCTGAGTAGAAGCTGCACAGGGAGGAGAAGGTAGGGGCAGTCAGCTGCAGCTGAAGCTTCATGCAGAGAACGTTTTCACTAGTGAACATTTTTAATGCATTTTTAATGGCTAAAAGCAGCAGAGCTCCTCCCTGCCTGCTGTGTCTCTGCTGGCATTTTTTCTATGGCATTTCTTTCGCTGTCAGCAGTTAGGAGGTTTAAATAGTGAAGTTGGGTTAAGCCCCTGCTGTTTCAGGCATCCCTCCTGCTTTAGCTCTGCATGGATTGGTGTGGTGCTTCTGTGAGAGTCTTGCAGGCAGGTGAACAGTGCAGCTGGGAACTACTTTTGTACTGCCCTGCCAAACTTGGAGCTGGCCTGGGGGGGAGTTATCCCTTTGCACTTCCAAGAGACAGGTCAGAAGTGTTCTGCTGCTCTCTTGGCTGTGTTTTGGAGGAGCCTGACATGTTTGGATCTGTCAGGCTCTCTTCAGTGCACTAAGAGGGCAGAAAGTTTTCAGACTAAAATCAGTGTTAAAAAGAAAAGGAAGACTGGAGTGCCCCATATGATATTATGGTCATGAGCCCGCTGGAGTCAGAGGATAGCTTGGGTTGGAAAGGAGTTTAAAGATCATCTTGTTCCCACACCCCTGCCATGGGCATTCTATAAGATCAGGTTGCTCAGAGCCCCATCCACCCTATCCTTGATCATCTCTGTTCTTAGTAACAGCAGCTGTGGATTTAACTGAGCTAGGTTTCCTCTAAAAATCTCAATTCTAACATTTTTTTACTATGTATAATAACATTTACTATGCATAATAATATTATAATTACTGTGATGAACTGCTGTAGCTGTATTGGTTTACTGTAGAGGAAAAATAACCTAACTAAATCCCCCCAAGCCTCCTAAAGACACTGAACAAGGCACAGAAAAGGAGCAGTAATTGCTCTGGCCTTGTAAGAGCTTTGCTAAATGCAGATGCCAGTTTGCAAAACCTAGTTCACCTTTCAGTTGCATTTGTTAAATTTGTTTTACTAACTTTCCCCCCACAGTAAACTTTTTTGGTCTCTTTAGACTCCAGGAACGTACAGTCTAGTCTGATTCTAGAGCTAATTTGGAGTACAAGCTTCTAGAATAAATAGTTTTCTGAGTGTTGTCTTAGTGATTTTGCATGCTTTGTTTGCCAACTTGCTGCATTTTTAAAATGTTGAGACACCAGATTAGAAGAAATCAATAACTGTGAAGGGTGGTGAGACACTGCACAGATTTCCCAGAGCAGCTGTGGAGGGTCCAGCCCTGGAAGTGTCCAATGCCAGGTGGGATGGGACTTGGAGCAACCCAAGACAGTGAAAGGTGTCCCTGCCCATGGCAGGGGGTTGGAACTAGGTGGGTTTTAAGGTCCCTTTCCACCCAAATAATTCTGTGATCTATGGGTAAATACAATATTTTCTCCTGTATATTATATATTAGCATATTCTACATGCTAATTATGTGAAAATGGTAAACTGAGGAGAATAACAGAGTTACCTTCCAGGTTTTCCTGACTACAGCAGTAGCCAAGCCAGGCCTTCTTCAGGGCACAGTACAATTACTGTTCTTACATACAGATTTTATTGATGTTTTAATCAACAGTGATGATTTTGTTAAAGGGTAAAGAAATTTTTAAACTAGTGCTTATGATGACACAGTTCCTTTCTTTATGTGAAAGCTGTTAAAATTAACTACAGCCATACCTCCCCAGGAATCAATTAAATAGGGTGTGCAGTAACTTATCTTGGGTGTAAGAGGTGAGTAAATGAAGGTAGCCTGAAGTCCAAAGTACCTCTTGCTAAAATACCTTCCTCCCTCCTGGTGAGACTGGTTTGGACTTCAGTGACCTTTGAAAACCTCTGGTGAAATGGAAACAACCTACCTGAGAAACAAAACTTAATAGTAGCTGTGTACACACATTAAACTCTCCCAAAGTAATTACTGAGTTAAAGAATCACAGATTAGGGCCCAAAAGAGCTATTTAAACGTAACTCTGATGAGGGTTTTAAGGACTTCAAAGCTTAGTTTGGATGAAGTGATCAGCTCTGCTTCCAATGAAATACAACTGTTGGGTCAGGTAATTCTGGTGATTACAGGTTAAACTACTGCATATTTAATAATAATGTTTTATTACTTAAAGAGCTGTTTAATTAAACAGCTAAGCACTGGCAGCTAAAGGCAGTATTTGTTGGCAAGTGTTCTCCCCTGTTACACTGCTGAGTGAACCTTTCCTGACAGTGTGGTGGGATCTGGGAGCATCCTGCCCGTGTCAGCCGGGCTGGCCAGGCCCCAGGTCAGCCATCTGTCCCTTCCCACTGCTGCCCTGCTCCTGACCTGGGCATGCATCTCACTCAAATGTCACTGCACTCAGGCACGTTACTCGAACTCCAACTGCCCAGCATGAATATAAACACGTCACAGGCCACAAGGACTTTGTAGGAAGTCCATTTTCACAGGAATCCCACACGAATTGGGTATCCAGCTTTCATTAAAAATACAATTATGACTTAACTCCCTGGAAAGTTCCATTCTGGAGGACTGATTTTTGATCCAAATTAAAGAATTGAATTACCATTTTCCTTCTGCTTCCCTGTTTACCTTGAGCAAGTTACCAAAAAGTTAAAGAGTTTGCTGCTGGATTTATACAGTACAGTAGATTTTGTGAATAATAGCAGTATTCTCTCATGAAGAAGTGGTATATTTTAATGGAATTCTTTTTTGGAACCAAGTACAACGTATTGCAATTGATATTCCTCTTGAAACATTTTGACGTACTTGTGACTGTATTTCTTTTTGATTGTGTACCAGTATAAAATTCAATAAAAGAGAGGGTTTGTTTCTAATTTGTGACATCTGTGATCTTTGTCCATCCCTTTTCCCTATTATAAAAGGTGGAGGTGACTTTAAAGTGAACTAAACCACTGTGCAGAGTAACAAATTCCTTGCAGGTTTGAGACTTTACTGCCCACTGTCAGAAACTTGGGCATCAAGCAGCCATGGTCACAGTCTCCAGAAACATAGATTTTATATTCAATATAATATAAATAGATAATATTTGTATGTAAGTTGAATCCTATTCACATGAGGTTATCTCACCTGAGTTAAGCAGATCGCATGTGTGAACAAAAGAGGTCAAACATAACAATTTGACAAGTTGGATATGGGAATGTTAAATTAATGCCACGTCCTACTGCACAGATTAAAAAGCTTTTGTGAAATTTGTGCTTGTTGGGAAGTCTGAAAGCAGGAGGTGTGCACCAGTGGAGTATGATCCTGTTAGCAATAGGTTTGTACATACCGAAGGTGGAATAAGCCATTTAATAAAATATATTAATGATTTATTTTCATGTTTTCAACTTGAAAATGTGTTCTGATGCAATCATATATGGTATTAAAAGAGAAACTTGTTTTGTGCCATATGCACCTGGAAAACCCCATTATTTATATCAGTGCAGGATAAATGGCTTTTAAATTGCAACTTATAAACTAGTAATTAATAGAGCAAATAGGATTTCATCCTTTTGTTTAGCAGTTGAATATGAAGAAGATACAGTAACCTTCCTTACATCACCTAATTATTTATTTTTTTTTTTTAGTTTGAAGGCATTAATTGTACTAAAATGTACTAATGAATAATTTGAAGGAGTACTGAAAACAGGTGATGAAGAAGAGTAGAATATTAATTAGTCTAAAAATTGATACTGTATTTAATTTTATATACCACTTTTATATCGCAATTTTATATACCAGAGAAATTGTACGAAGAGACCCCGTCACTTGAATTTATTCTTCTGCATTTTCATTCTTTACAATGTACCCAAACTTCCTGCAAGGGAAGACTTAGGGCACATTCACATGGGCACAACAGCCTCATCCTCACTACATCTTGCATCATGCAACCCCATCTGCTTTAGGAAAAAAAAAATCCATATAGCGTTACTTGAAACATAATCTCTGAGAAATCACCCCACTCACTGCACGCTTAAAATACAAAAAATCAGAAAACACACTCTGAGCTTTACAAATTCAGCATCACTCCAGAGCCAGGCTCCTCCTATTAAATTAAGGGATGTCTCCAGAACAGGGCTTGGTTTGAGCTGTATGTAACAGTGAACTCGCTCCATGATGTGTCAGTTTTGACTCACTTGTGATTTGAGTCCTTAAATCCATTGTTGAGGGGAGAACATTGTATCTGTTTTCCTAATAGTGTTGGCATTCTGTTCCAAAATCAGTACAATCTGTTGAAGTCAGGGTGATGTACTGGATGAATGGGGTCACTGCCCTCCATCTCTAAACATGAATCCAAATGACAGATGAAAGTGTCTTTTCAGAAAAAGGAAAAAAATGCAAACCAAACCCTGGCAGGTGCAGTTCTATTAAACCCTGTACAGTTCATATGCAACAGCTCTGCAAACATCTCTGTTCCTGTAGTCAATGACATTGGTAACCAGTGGTGCTCAAAGGCAACTGCTGTTCAGCCGACGGCAAATTACCTCCTCATAAAGGCTGCAAAAGGTTGCAGTCCAGCAACCTTTTGGGAAATACAATAAATATGGAGAGATGCTTGCATGCCTGGAGCACTGTGGGAGCTCCTGACATTGTAGGAGCTGACAGCTTGATGTGCCTCGCTGTAAGGAGCGACCTTAGGATCAATTAGTTGATGCTATTGGTGAACTGGAGAACATCACGGTACCGTAGCCAGCAGAATTCTACACTCATTTCGCAGTGCACGATTATTTGAGAAAGCAAAACGTGATTTTTTTTTTTTTTAACCTGGTCGCTGGGAAAACTCCTGCAGATTTAAACATCCCAAAGGCACCACACAAGGCTCTATCCCAAGCCCAAACTTGCCCTACACGCTGTAGGGGAAGCGTGGCTTCCCCTGCGCCGGGGATCTTGCCCCGCAGGCACCCGGGCGCTCTCCTGCCCAGCCCGGGAGCGCTCCCGGCGCAGGTGCCGCTGTCCAGCCGCGCTCCCACAATCCAAGCCCCGACCGCAGCGGCGGTCACCGCAACACCGCCTTGAAACCCGAGCGCCGTCCTTAACCCCTCTGGGGGACCCGCCCGAAGGGCTCCCGGGCACCACAACCTGCTTCCCCGGGACACTGCCCGCCCCGCCCCGAGCGGTGCCCGGTGCCGCGGGTCGGTACTCACCGCGGCGCGGGGCTCTCCGCCGCCGGTCCCGGCAGCCGCCTCGCCTCGGCGGCCGCTCGCCCCTCTCTGTACGTGCGCCGGGGAGCGCGGGCAGAGCAGCGAGGCCGCACCCACCCACCCTACGTGCGGCTCGGCAGCCGCGGCCCCCTCCCCGGCCGCCTACGTGTGGCCGTGCATGCGGGGAGCGGGCGGCACGGCACGGTGTGACACGGCAGGGCGTCCCGCCGCTCGGGGGGGCGGCCGCCGGCTTATCCCCGCCTGCCGCGCTCGCCCAGGCGGAACGGGACTCCCGCAGCCGTCGGGGCTTTGGGACAGCCGGGGGAGCAGCGGGGGCCGGCGGTGACCCTTCAGCGGAGCGTGGCGGCGTGTCACGTCCCCACGGCCGCCCTTCCCGGCCCCCGAGCCTGCGGGGACTGGGGCGGGGAGTGTGAAGCCCCGCGCCTCGACAGCGTCCGCGGGATCTCCGGTGCCCGCCCGAGCGGACCCGCCGCGGCTCATCCCGCCCGAACCCGCCCAGGGATGCGCTGCTCGGAGAGGCATTGTGCCCGTGGAGCGGGCTGGCCCTCCACGGCGGGAGGGAGCGGGACAGCGCCCGAGGCGGGCAGAGCGAGCGCCCGTCACTGACGGGGTCTCGCCGCACACAGCGGCAGCGGGGCCGGAGCGCGGCGGGACGGCCCCGCTCCGTCACGGGCGGCCCCGCTCTCTCACGGGCGGCCCCGCTCTCTCACGGGCGGCCCCGCTCCGTCACGGGCGGCCCCGCTCCCGCACGGGCGGCCCCGCTCCGTCACGGGCGGCCCCGCTCCCTCACGGGCGGCCCCGCTCCCTCACGGGCGGCCCGGGCGGCTCCTCCCGGCAGGGGCCGTGCGCAGGCGCGGAGCGGCCGCGCAGGCGCCGCGGGGCTGTTGTGGTGCGGGCGCGCCCGTGCGGAGCGGCCGCGGGGCGAGCGCGGGGCCGGCGGCATGAGCGGCGTGCCGGGGCTCAAGGAGGACTGCGAGGAGCTGCTCGGCGCCTTCCAGCAGGCAGACACCGTCCGCTTCGAGCGCTTCGCCGAGCTGTGGCGGGAGCGCCGCTTCCACACCGTCTTCTAGTGAGTGGGTGAGGGAGGGGATGGATGGCTCCCGGCCGTCCCTCAGGCCAAGCCGCGCCTGCCCTTCTCCTGCCCTTCTCCTGCCCTTCTCCTGCCCTTCTCCTGCCCTTCTCCTGCCCCTCTCTTTCCCCTCTCTAGGCCCTCTCCTGCCCCTCTCTTTCCCCTCTCCTTCCCCTCTCCTTCCCCTCTCCTTCCCCTCTCCTTCCCCTCTCCTTCCCCTCTCCTTCCCCTCTCTTTCCCCTCTCTTTCCCCTCTCCTTCCCCTCTCCAGGCCCGCAGCCCCCGGTGCTTGGCTTCCCCCCGGGCCAGGCCATCCTGCACCATGTGCGCCCTCAGGCCTGGCTCAGGGAGAGAGTTGCCTGGCTGGGCTCTAAAGAAAGTGGAGCATCGGTCCCTCTGTAATGATGGAAAAGAGTTTTAAATTCGGTGTATTTCGTGTGTTAGCAACGTGTGTGATTTGAGCGCTGACTCCGCAGGGAGCGTGGTGTGATCCTCGTGAGATTTAAAAGCAGGACATGTGTGTTTCACTGAATCATAGAATATCCTGAGTTGGAAGGAGCCCACATGGATCATGCAGTCCAACTTTTGACCTTGCACAGGACACCCCAAGAGTGCTGAAAATCTTGCCCAGACTCTTCTTGAACTCTGCCAGGTTGTGATTCTTGGGGTCGTCCTCTGCAGGACCAGTAGCTGGATTCAGTGATCACTGTGGGTCCCTTCCAGCTGAGGACATTTAATGATTCTATATTTTTAAAACATCTAAAGTTTGTTTCTGCATTATAGATTTTTGTAAAGCCTGCAGTTTTATATTTATGTGCATTAACATGCTGCTTTTTTCCTTTTTTTTTTTTTTTTTTTTTTTTTTTTTTTTTTTTTTTTTTTTTTTTTTTTTTTTTTTTTTGCTTTAGTGGTAGAATGAGAGCTTTGGAGAGGAATAAGCTCACAAAGAAGACTCTAGATCTGGCCCGGCAATACTTTTTTCCCCCCTACTCCTTCCAGATCCGAGTTGGTGCTCTGTACCTTCTGTATGGGCTCTATAATGCCCAGCTTTGTCAGCCAAAACAAAAGGTAATTGTTCCTGAGGTTTTATTCTCAGGAGATACTAGACATAAGATATGTGGTAAACTGCTGTCTGCTTTGTCATCATAAATGGTTAGGGCATTTCCTTCTGCTTTCTTAAGATAACACTTAAAGCCAGAGTGGAAGCTATTGGAAAAGGCAGAGATAGAGAATGTGTTTATCAGCTGTAGGGTGAATCCCATTACAGCCTGAGTTACTCTTTAGAACTCCAACAGAATGGAGACTGAATTTCTGCTTCCCATTAACCAGAAAAGGAATTAATTAATAGGTTGAGAGGGTGAGTGCCTGAATGACACTCTCCTTGCTGCCTTTAGGATAGGAGACCAATATCTAAAGGAATTACAAACTCAGTGCAAGGAGAAGTGGCTTGCTTAGGAACTTTGTGGTATGTGTTGAGTGCACATGCAAAATTGAGTCCAAATTCTTTAAATAACAAACCGAATTTGGAGTAGTCTACAATGATGCCATGGTGTCTCATATTTTGACCTCAGAGGAATCAATAACTTTTTATGAAGATGAATTTACTCAATTTTAAAGCCACTGCTGAGTAGCAGCTGTAAGAGGGTACACGAGTTAGCCAGAAAGTTAAGCAGAGAGAAAGGGAAGTGGGCAGAGTGGATGTGACAGGAGAGAAAGAAAGAAATAAGGGAAAGAGAACATTTATGAGCATTTCAGTGGCAGCTCAACCTGGTATGAGTATTGTTTTCTAATCACTAGTGAAGGGGAATATCCTAGGTGCAGACTCTTTTTCACACACTTCAAAATGTGAAGAATGAATGTTTCCAAATGTCAGAAAGGACTTGTGTTCCATGTCACTGTCAAAGAAAGTGCCATAATAATAATCTTAGGTGCATAAAATGATGATGGAAATAATGCATGTTATAGTGGGATCCTTTCTGCAGCTCTGGACATCCAGGTATTGTCACAGTAGTCAGCTCAGTTAATTTTTATGGTTGAAGTATTGGTTTAACAGCATGTAACTCTTCTGTTGCAGATCAGAATTGCACTCAAGGATTGGCCTGAAATCCAGAAATTCCAGCTGGATCTGCTTGACTCCCAGCACTATGATGCAGCCTATATCTTTAGGAAGCTGCGACTTGCCAGAGCTTTCCATTTCACAGCAATGCCAAAGCTAGTGAGTTAATACATTAATGACTTACATTTTTAAATAAAATACTCTCATCTTTCAATGCCTGACAGTTCAACAGCATTTGTGGTTAGCTCAGCCTTGAGGCTGTGTTAAAATTCAATATGTGTGGCTTTACATAGGTAGGTGATGAAGAGCTTAGAGGATGTTTGAATGCTTCTCACCTGAAAATATTTTTTCAGTGTCCAATGTTTTTAATGGATTTGAGATATTTTACCAGTTGAAGAAATTAGTCTAAGTGCTGGATTAAATTCTTAACTAGAGAATGATTTATGAAAAGTGCTGCCTCTGAGCATGTGACAGCAAAGCTGTTGTTTTATGTGGTTTTATGCCTTTCAGTATCTCCCATCTCCTGATTGATGGATAGGCAGTAGGAATTCTCAAGAGGAGGTGCCTTTTGAAGTTTTCTTTTAGGTTACAAACATTTCCTCTTGTTTTAGCTGACCTACAGAACTAAGAAGAAGAGTGAGGAAAATTATATTAAAGAAGAATTTAAGGACCCGAGTGACAGAGTAAACAGCCTTATCACTAATGATGTATTGGAGGTACAGTAACCTTTAAAGTACAGATTAATCAATGGAGTTTGTTTTGTTTTAATTTCTCTGTTGTCCAAGAGCTGTAACTTCTCTAATCAGCAGTCTTGTCCTTTTGTGGAATGCAGACTTAAGGTAATTTTACTAGACACTAAATGTGGCATTTAGTTTGGAAGAATTGTGCTACCTTTTCCAGTACTGAAATATGCTCTAATGTTTTGTGATTTTGCCTCAGTAAGATGTAAAAGGGTGTAAATGGTTAATTGTCACCTAGAGAAAAATGGAAAATGGGGGAAGCATGTTTGTTTTGATGTGTCTGCAGGTTGCAACAGGAGGCTTGATACTTGTGATAATATGAATTTACTTATCTGCAAGTTCATAGCCTTCTCCCACCTTTATTTCTCCTTTCAAACATTAAGATTTTTTTATTATATGATTCATTTGATAAAAACCTGAGTAATTCAAGCCAAGTAAAGGTTCTCATATCAAGCATAAAGATTCTTATATCACTCTGTGATAGAACTTTCTTTGCAGGTTCTTTCATTTATTGCTGGCAAATGTGTATCAGTAAGGTTGACTGCAGTGGTACAGAAATCTGTGAAGTAAAGAAAGATGTTTATTTTCATCCAAAGAGATGAAAATAAACCACAGTATCAGAATGAACCATGTATGAGCAGTGGTCCTGAATAACCTTCTTAGTTTAAATAATGTAAGGTACTCTTTCTTCTTTAGCTTATTTGATGGGCCAGTTCTGGTTAGCAGGATTCCTTGGCTCTAAAACTCAAATAATCTAACCAGAATCAGTTTCTAACATTCCTCCTAGTCTAATGATCTCCTTAGAATGGTTTCTATAACCCTGAGGACTATTGAGGACTATTATTGCTTTACTGCTGGAATATTTCTTTTTCCTGAAAGACACTTTTAAAAAATAATTTCAGGAACTGATGAATATTCACGACCATTATCAGAAAATGAAGTGTGTCATTTCAGCTGACAAATCCCAGCCAGACAAGGCCCTGAGCTTGATAAAAGATGACTTTGTGGTCACTCTCAAAGACATAACCTTGGAACATCAGGGATGGCAGCAGAACAGAATGGTAGGTACTACCAACCACTATGCTGTGGTGCCTTAGCAGGTTGGGTGAATGTGTAGGAGCTGGACTTCTTGGAGTGATTACCTCTGAGCTGGTACATCTGAGATTGAAGGAGAAGGAACTGTGACATTGAAGGCATGCACTGTGTGAAACCTGTGGCAGGGATGTGGTATGGGAGAAAGGACTTTTGTGGGTGGTCTTGCCTCTGGGATACCACAAATGACTGCTGAGAGGGAAGCCCTGATGGTCTGACCTCATGAAATACCTCTGTAACACATTGCTGGATCAAAGAAAGGCCACAGTGTAAGGTAGATGTAGAAAATGGGCATGTGTGTAAATCCTTGCTTTGTTTTTTACAGTTCTTGGATTTTGGCTTTCTTGTATATCACAGATGTTTAAAGAAAAACATTTTTCTTCCCCACAGAAATTACTCCAAAATAATGAAGTAACTCATGAAACGGAAAACAAAAAGAAAGAACAGACTTTCCTAGAACCAGAGGTAAGGAAACTTTGCTGCATTGCAGAGGCCAAATCTGTTCGTTTTTTGACTTCAGATCTCAGGCTAAGCAGTGTAGGCCAAAGTCTGATAGTGCCAAAATAAATTCCAAGGACAGCTGGTGGGGCTGGTTGCATGGTTTTGTTTTTAACTCAATTGTTTTCTGTTGAGCTGTGAGCATTTACTGCTGTGACAGCTCTTACATGATCTCCATAAAAAGTCTGTCTCAGGTAAGAAGGGAAAAGAGCTGTATTTTCTCAGCCAAAATTCTTTACACTTCCTCCTGGAGTTTCAGCTTAAGGCAATATTCATTTTTTATGCTACAGAATTGTCTCATATTGTCTCAATTGTCTGCTTTGAATTTGAGTAAGATGTGAAGTTTCAAATTTGATTTTTCTCTTCCTGGGCTTTGTAACAGTGAAGGCAACCAAATCTTTTTAATTAATTTTTTTTTTCCTTGAAGTACCATTTTTGTGGCATGGAAATTATGTAGAACTAATTATAGAGTTACAGCTGTAGTGAGATACTGCTCAAGTGGTTGCCTGATGTAATATTTCAGTACTGGTATAATAGAATAAGAATCATTTCTGACTGGTCTCTTGTTTCTTTACAGGGTTCTGAAAGAGCAAGTGCCCTGGCAAGAATCAAATACAAGTCTTATTCTGCAGTTGTTGAGGTAGGTATGAAAATTGATAATGGGGATGTATTTATTTTTCAGAACAGTTTTAAATACCAGTTTAATGTAAATGTTGGGTGAAAAAGGATTGAGTTAAAACTGCACTCTGTAATTCAGTTTTTGGAATGTTTTAGTTTTCCTAACACAGCAAGGAAACCTGAAACTCTTAGTCTTCTTAGATATATGGAACAATGCAGATAAGGCCTGTGCTTGGGGGGTTTTCCTTTACAGGGTATCTTTTAATATCTACTCTCTGTTAAAGTAGATGGAATTTTAAGAAGATGCATAAAAATACATGAGAGTTTAATTTCTCAGACTCTTTGTATCTTAGATATTGCAGTCTTGGAAGATGCCTGTGAAAATGGGACTTGGGAGTTTAAAGTCAGTTGCAAATTCTGAAAACTTTGTTTCAGTAGCTTCTCCCTTAAAAGAGTATTGTTGGTTTGTCTTTTTCTCAGCAGTCCTATGAGAAACATCTCAACTTTCTCTCTTTATTAAAATCTCATATCAAAAAACGTGTCATTGCATGAAACCCAGATCTGGACTTTATAACAGTCCAGACTCATGAATGTGCAGTGATGTTTTTTAGGCACTTAAGCAAAATATGATGGTAAGGAGGCTTTACAGAGCAGCAGTTTTTGGAAGTGTTTCTTTTGTAGGGGGATGCAGCATGATGTGGCTTGGTAGTAACAGAGAATGGATTGGAAATTAATGTATGCTTCATTATCTGCATTTTAAGTTATACCATTAAATCATTGTCCTGTTAAAGCTGAAGAACAGCAACTAGTGGGAGCCCTCCCTCCCTCTTTCCCCTTCTATCCCTTTTCCACCCTGACATGAAGTTGATGCTTTTGTCCCTGCTGGTTTGTCAGGTGACCCACAGCAAGATCTGGCTGTAGAAGTTCAGCTTTTTTTGTGTCATTCAGGTTTCCAAATCCAGGAGACATCGTCAAGTCCGGTTGGAATCCTCTGAACCAGGATCCAGTTGTGGGAAGTCTCCAAGTCGAAGTAAAAAGCCCAGCAGGAGACCACAGCCAGCAAGGAGAGGTTCTTCTTCAGAAGTTAGAGGTACTTCTCCATTGCATGGATGAATGTGGGGAGGTTGCAAAAGTTTATCCATTGCTTTGCTTGCTGGGTTAAATTTTGCTGTTGATCACTAAGAAATTACTTTTCCTAAGGAAATTCTTTTTCTGATATCCAGCTTTTCAACTGGTAGAAGCTGCTAAATTTTTTGTTTACTCCTTATTTGTTACAGTTTAAACAGCCAAATGGTTTTGACTTGTCTTTATTTTTTGACTTGTCTTTATTTTGAAGATGGGAATTTAATTTCAAAGTTCCAAACTCAGTTTTCAGACTTGCTTAGTCTCTGCTAGAGGAAAAAAGTTACTGAGGAAATGAATCCCTCTTCAAAATGAGCATTAGGCAGTGTTGCCTTTGCTTGTCTATAAAAGAGTAGATGAAATGTATTGGAGCAGTAAGGGCATTGTGAGTTATTGAACCAATCTGGTGATTAATTTGCTTTTAATTGGTAATGTTAACTACTTGTTTTTGAAGGTTTCTTAGCGAGCCATATAGAGGTACTGTGAAAAGTAGTTTGCAGCATTTGACAGCATCTCAGGAGAGCAGCAGTGAACAATCTTTTAATTACTGGATGAAGGATGTAGAAGCAAAAAAAAGCTTACAGTTTTTCCTCAAAATCTGTGTGCAGGTGAAATGCAAGTGGCCAAGGAAACTGTAACTCAGCATATCGGGATGCCAATAATCGTAGAAGAGGACTCAGAGGAAGGAGGTACAACAGTTGCAATTCCAGCAAACCAGTGACTTGTTTTTTAATAGCCCTCTGCTGTGTTTTTCTGAAACTAAAGTTAATATTTGGATCGTGTCTTGATGAGCTAGATTTGTTTTTAGCCTGCAAATTGTTGCATGAAGATTGAAACTTTGAAACGCCATGGCCAAGTCCTCAGAGTAATTTTTTTTCTACAGCGAATCAATTGCAGTGTCTTCAGAGTTAAAATTGGTGCAGTTTAAAGCAGTCTCATTCTTCTGTTACACAAGTTTGTCTTGAGAGGAGTTCCATTGTGTAGGGAAAAGTGATTTTTTTGCTCAGTCACCCACTTACAGAGGGTGCCTGTTCTGGTAACTCTGAACTTAGGAAAGCATAGCCCTTGCTGCCCTCACCTTTGTTGAGGGGAGGGAAGGTTCCTCTCTAGCCTTACTTTCAGCTGGGCAGTGTTTCATGGATTGAGCTCCAATACAGCAATAGCATCCTCTGCTGTACTGGAAGTTATCTGACATTGTCAGGGGAGGACTGGGAACTGCAGCAGGGGAGTGAATGGCTTTGCTCTCACTCAGGTTCCTGGAAATAATGTGGTTTTAATTTTGAAGCAGTGGTAAAGCAGATTGCTCAAAGCTTACAGTGTTTTTCTGCAGAAGCATCAATGTTGGATGATACTGAGCTGCTTTGCAACTCAGAAGCTTCAGAGCTGTTCTCAGCTGTTTAAGAACATGGCACAGTATAAAAAAATCTTCTGCAGTTAATTCACTTTCCAAAATTCTATTTAATGGGAGCATATTTAATACATTGAAATGTATTAAAATACATTTTTAGTGACATTATATATTTATATTTGCTCCTTTCAGAAGCAAAGGAGCATCTCATAGTACTCTCATAGAGAGATTACATTCTCTGGTCACTTTTATTTGTAGACAGTGAGAATTAATTCAATTTTAAATGGTCAGATGGAAGGTGCCATGGGTCACTTAATATTGTACTTTGTTTATTTTCCCTTCACTTGTCCACTTGTTGTGGACAAAAAGTTTCTTTCTAAATCAGAAAAGTTCTCTGTTTGTCAGAATTTTCCAGTAAATTCTGAAGCATTAAAAATACCCATAAGAAGTCTCTTCAGATATTTTGTGAGTATTCCATTTGTCAAATTCACAGAAAAATCTAAAAGATGTTGGGGAAGAGTAGAAAGCTTTTAAGATGGAGTAAGTTTTGAAGTACAATATTCATCACTGGAATTTCAGGTGATATTTTGAATGATAGTGTGCTGTAGAATCCAGAAAGATTTTTTTCATATTTAAAAATCATGGGAAGAGGGACTAGGAGGGGATCTCAAGGGCTCATGTAGGTAATTTCCTGTGCTGGATAGAGTTCATTCTACTTGAACAACTCCCATGAAGGAAGATGGATTTAAAAGCTTGTAAAAAAACTTTCTCTTTATTTTTTTTCAGAAGTATCTCTCCCCAAGAGGAGAAGACAACGTTAGAGGATCCACACGGAGAAACACTGATGTTAATTTTAATGACAAAATGAAAATGTCAGAGGTAACACCAAGTGCTTGTTTTGGATACCTTGGAACATAAAAGGTGTCTGGGGCCAGAAGCACAGGTGATGTTGCAATACTGGTAGTGACTGGGATACTTCAGCTGTCTTGTGATGCCTTTATTCACCTGGTGAATATTTCTTGTGGGAGACTGAAGTTGCTGTGTCCTGGCTGAGACAGAAAAAGAAGGCTCAGAAAATATTTCCCTATGTAATACATGTCTATAATCCTTTATCTCTGAACATAAGGTTATTGACTGTTGAAAATTAGTGCAATAAATTATTTTTCATGGTTGACTTGCTCCATTTTATGGTGTGTAAACTTCACTGCATATCATGGTTTGATTCCACACATGTGGAAATGAACTTGCTGATAAGCTTTTTGTTGTGCCCTGTCTCCAGCAGATCTGGAGTTAGTGTATTCAAGTGGAGGGATGTAAAGGGTGTTCATTAATTCTGCAGATAACCCTGAGCTGTATAAGGGCAGGACTGGAATTCAAAATTATCTTTATAAATTGGAGGGGAGTGAAGGAAGTGGGTGCAGAAATAAACATAGATCTCAGCATTGAGAACAGGCACAGCGTGGGGAAATGCTTGGTAACAGTGCAGCAGAAAAAGTAAATGGGCTGAGAATCATCAGCTGGAATATTTTCTTTTAACACTAAAACAGTAGAATTTGTGTCACTCAGCCTTGGAAGGCTGGAGCCTTAAATATCCCCATCTACCACAACAGCTTAAGAAGAATGTGGAGTTACTCTCCTTGGAATTTCTCTGGTTCATCACAACTGTTCTTTCAAGAAAGGCAAAGGAGTTAAGTGTCCTTTTCTACAAGAAGAAATGTAAATTAGAAATTTGAAAGATTTTGAATACAAAAAGAAAACCTAATTTGAATTAATTAGTTTGGTAGTATGACTCTCCAAGGCCAGAGGAATTTAAGTGCTCTTATGTAGAAGAAAAAACATTTCAATGGAGATGCAAAGGGTTTTACTATCAAGAGTTTTACTGTCAAAAGTTTCCATATTAAATGTGTTGGTTGGCAGGGAGGAATGGGCCAAAAGAGGTTGGAAAAGCTGATGATGAAGTTCCAGTGTTGCACTCGACCTTGTTAACAAGAAAAGAGGAAACACTTTGTAATAAAGCCAAACCTTACTGCACTGTAAACTGAACAATCAAATATTCAGTTGAGTAACCAAAGTCTTGATAGACTAATCCAAAAGTCATTATTAGCTCAGATCTAATTATTGTAGAAAAAGAATACTTCTACACAGATAAAAAACCCCTGTAGTGGTAACAACACAGTTAAAGTCATCATACATACATTTAGTTTCTACTCTTTTTTTTCTGGTTTATCATTCATTCTTCCACTGCACTCTTTGTCCTGAGGTTGGGTTAAGGCTGTGGATGATTCAGATGTGTTTTTCTTAAAAGGACTGATCTATGGCTATGAATAATTTGGAGGTATCGTTTCTGTAAGGTTTGAACAATTTGATTTTATTTAGGTTTTCTGACAATGCCTATGCTTTTCTGCTGCCTGCACAAACGCTGCCTCTGTGCATTTCTTCTACTTCTTGATGAGCAGGTACAAAAAAACCCAAAAGAAACCTCAAAGTGAAACGTAATCAGATTATTTTTGCTCAGTAACATGTCTAAGGAACATGTTTGATACTGTTCCCTGCAGTGGCACTTTTTTGTAACGTGACCATCTAATTTGCCTCTCCTTATACCTTTGGGCTACCCCAAGAGCTGAATAAGGGGTGGAATTTGTGACAATTTTTGATACTTCTGAGTGACATGATAATTTTTGATATTTTTGAGTGACATGAGTCCTCCTTGCACTCCTCTGCAAATGATGTGCAAAGCGTGCAAAGGCTTGGCTAGGCACAAGGATGGGTGCATTCAACTAGAAGTTATTTTCATATTGTAATAATGAAAACAAATGTTCTGTAATTTGTTTATAAAATTACATAGATGTAAATGGAAGTCATGATTAAGAATAAACTTAGAACTGCTGACTCTATGCATGTTGATGTTTCAAAACAGTAATCCTGAGAATTTAGAGGCAGCTGTAAGCAGAGTTTCACAATGCTGGTGTAATATTTAATAGAAAAAAATCTATTGTTGTAGTTTGATGGGCAATTACAGGCTTTGAAAAACAGGAGAGAGACTTCCTAAAATGCTTCATTGAAGCAAGCAGCTGTCATTAAAAAAAACCTTCAACAATAATTCTGGAACTCCAAATAATAATAGTAGTAGTAGACTTTCTGGGATCTAAATTCTCTCCTACTTGTAGTCTCAGCTACTGTAATGGCTAAAGTCTGCAAAGAAATTTAATCTCTAATGCCAGCCTAACTTCCAGCTGTGCTGGTGGATAGGAGTGAGGCCATATGACAGTGTGTATCTGGATGTTGTTACAGTTTTCAGAAATAAATTGAATAAATATGTTTTGGCTGAAGCTTCTCTGAGGTAGATGCACAGCTGTCTGTTCACCCAAAAGTAATCACCATTTCTTTGGCAAAGGTGGAAGATCCTCTTAGTGGAGGCTTGAGCCAGTGCTCAGTGTTTGCAAGGATAATATGGGTGATGAAAAACAAAATACACCTAAAACACCTAGAGGTGACATCAAGTTTACAGAATCACAGAATCAGTTATCTTGGGAAAGACCTCTGACATTACTGAGTCCAACTTTTGACTGATCATCACCTTGTCAACCAGAGCATGACACTGAGTACCATGTCCAGTCTTCTTGAGCACCTGGGAACTGTTTTAAGTGAAAGTATACAATATTTTTATTCTTATTGTTAAAGCAAACAACAAGATCTATTTAAGTCAAGGTGCAAAAGACTGGACAAATTAAACTCAAATACCAGCTTAGGGATGCTCCTGTTAGCAGCTGTGCTCAACCTGGAGGTTTTTGCAGCCTTCAAACTGAAGTTTGAAGCAATATGGGAGTGACATGAAAAAATTCCAAATGCCATGGATGACAGTGGAGATCTCTGTGTGCAGCTTAGTGTCAATGTAGATATTACCTCTAGAATAACTGGAGAATCCTACAGTAGAAGGGATTTTGCTGTTTGTTTTAAGGCCAGATTTTTTACTGTGAAATTCTCCTATTAAGTAAATCCATGTTGCTGCCAATTGCACATCTCTACTGTAGTGAGCACAGAGAAAAAATTAATCAATCAGCATCTGCATAAAGACACATTAGAAAGCTAGAGAGACTCTTCCACTCATTCTAAACCCTTTCTTTTTCAGACTAAAATCAAAAGCAGTCTGCTTTCTTTTTGTTGCCTTTTTTTTTTTTTCAGGATTCTAAAGGTAGACCTGATCCTAAAGGACTAAAAGATACTTTGAGATTTATTCTGGTGTTATACTTAAATGTCTTATGTAACAGGACTCTATGCAGAGTGTTTGTATTCTCTCATCACATGAGACCTGCATAGCAGGTTTCTTCAAATGACACTGATATTTTATCCCTTCTTGTCTGGAATGTTTTATTTTGAAGTTCATTCTGCATCTGGAGTTGCCTATTTAGATTTTACAAATCTTGCTAAGTGGCTTCCTCAGCCCAATTTCATCTTGGTCCTCAAATCTGGGCACGTGATTAAGCCAGATAATGGAATATTTCCCTCCTCCATGTGCAGCCCAGCATTTGGAAATGGGACTCCTGGAACTTCATCAGCTACAAGGAACTGAAAAATGTGCTAATCTCTGTCTTTCTCCTAGGACTTGGAATTGTAGATGATCCTGAGATGGATGGGACCTACTACAAAAACTGAAGTCCAACTCCTGGCCCAGCATGGGACATCACAGGATCATCTACAATGATCCAAATACTTCCTGAACTCTGTCAGCCTTGGTGACCACTGCCCTGGGGAGCCTGTTCAGTGCCCAGCCACCCTTTGGAGGAAGAACCTTTTCCTGATATCCAACCTAAACCTCCCCTGACACAACTTCAGGTCATTCCTTCAGGTTCTGTCACTGGTCACCAGAGAAGAAATCAGTGCCTGCCTGTCTCTTCCCCTCAAGGGGAAGTTGCAGGCTGTGATAACTTCTCCCCACAGTCTCCTTCAAGCTAAACAGACCAAGTGACCTCAGCTGTTCTTGCATGTTCATGCACCTCTGGGCTTTCACCATCTTCAATAGCCCCTGGCTCAGTCTCTGTACTGTGACATAGTTTGGCTGTAATAGAAACCATCAAAGGAAGATTACAGCAGCTTGAGCTTTCTGTAACAGACACCAAACTGCTTCCTGTTTAGTCCAGCAATGTAAACCTGGATATGGGACATCAGGCAGGACACGAGAGCCAGCCCTCTGCTTCTAATGGCACAGCTGTTGTTGGAGATGGGGAGTAACTTGGTTTTTTCTTATAATGGAGTTTTGTGGGGGATTTGAAAAGTGAGGTAGTGATTAAATCCAAGAGAGAGGCTCAGTGCACCCTGCTGAGCAGGTGATTCTGACACGGGGCTGTGAGTTGTCACTGTCCATCCCACTGGGCTGGGGGTTGCCTCTTGTATTTCACCCGTGCTACCAACCGGTCAGCCCAGTCCTGAGGACCCATGAAAAGACACGGTACAACATTTTGGAAGACGCGGTGGAGCCCTGACCTCTCCCCAAGCTGCATTTTGGGGTGAAATGTGGCAGAGCCCCGGTGCCTCCCCGGCAGAGGCAGCGCTGCTCCCTCCCGCAGCCCCGCGGGGATGAACCGAGCGGGGATGAACCGAGCGGGGACGAACCGAGCGGGGATGAACCGAGCGGGGATGAACCGAGCGGGGACGAACCGAGCGGGGATGAACCGAGCGGGGATGAACCGAGCGGGGATGGCCGAGCGGGGATGAACCGAGCGGGGATGAACCGAGCGGGGATGAACCGAGCGGGGCCAGCGCGCACCCTCCGCGCTGCCGGCCGCGTCCCCGCGGGGCTCCGCTCCTCTCGCTCCGCGCCGCGCAGCGAGCGCGGCCGGGCTGCGGCCATGGCCACGGACGGTGAGTGCGGGCGGCGCCCCGCTCTGGCCCGGGATGCGGGATGCGGGATGCTGACGGGAGAGGGAGCGGGATGCTGATGGGAGCGGGATGCTGCGGAGAGCAGGATGCTGACGGGAGAGGGAGTGGGATGCTGCGGGATGCGGGATGCTGATGGAAGCAGGGCGCTGAGGGATGCTGACGGCCCCGGGGACGGGCACGGAGGGGGATGCCGGGCCCAGCTCCAGCGGCCCTGCCCCCGGGACGGTGAGGACCCTCCGCCGTGGGGCCCGGCGGGTGGGAGAAGGAGGTTCGGGGGTCGCTGTCCCCCTCCCCGGGCCGGCTGCGGGCGGTGCCCCTCGGCCGCTGCCCGCGGGTCTCACAGGCAGCGGTGGCGGGGGCTGCTGCCTGTGTGTTTCCCACCGAAAGGGCTCCTGTGCACAGACACGAATTTTAGGGAGAATAAACGAATAGGAAAGCCGGCTTTTGAGACATTGACGAAGAGCAGGTGTTCTTGTGATCATGGGGGACTTGTCTGTGTCTGGGAGCCTGGCAGTTGCTGGGTTTTCTTATCACAGCATAATAGAAATGATTTGAGGGAGGATTTTTGAGTGATGAGGGTGTTGTTTTGATTTATGGTGTTGGCCCACCCTGGCTCAGCTCATGGTGGTGACAGTGGTGCTGCTGCCAGGTATTTCCCTTAATATTTCAGATCACAGCACCAGCAAGTTGCTGAACCTGAACTGCTGCTGTTAGACACAGTCCTGGCAGTCTCCTTCTGATGTACTATAAAAATGACAACTTCAATGCTTCTTGAGGATTGCTGGGTTGATTTTGCTACATCTCTTGCCAGCTTTGGGGAAAATAATCATGTGAGCCTTTAAGAGATGCCAGGATGACATATAGCAGTGTATAAGCTGTCAGGAAAAAATCCTAGGTTTGAGCTTTTTATTAAAAATCTTAATCAGGAGTCTAATTTCTCTCCCCCTTTTGCCTTTTGGTGATGGTCTTTGTGTTTGCTGTTCCTCATTTTCTTTCAAGGCTGAGTCCTTAAGGAAGGGTCATCTCAGGCAAGGCCCAGGCTGATGGGTGGAGTTGTGGATTTTCCACAACATGGAGTCATTTGGTGTTTCAGTGGCCTTAGCAGAATTAGGAACTAACCTGGTTTGTTTCGAGTAGTATTAGTACACTTTTACCTTGCAGAACCTGTGCTTCCATAATTTAGATTTTATAGCAGGGATCCACACGTGACAGTTGACTCCTCATTTGTTTGAAAATTGCTAAATGTTTTGACTGATAAATAATAACCTGAAATGAAAAAGACTGGAGGGGAGACTGAAGTTAAAACTAATAAATTGGCATTCCTTGGACTTGGTGTACTTGTATTGAATTCCACTTAGATATAAACTGTGATTTTTTTTTGAAGTGGGAAAATCTGTATTGTTCTGTTTGGCTTTATATCCAATCTCAGCAGATGCCAGCCTTTCCTGTACTTGTATGGAGCAGTGGCACCATCAGCACAACTGGGGGGATCCTCTTGTCTGGGGAGCTTTGGGAGGAGCAAGGGCATCCTGAGAGCTCAGGCAGTGTCCACTTCTGTCCTCGTGTCAGGGTTGTTCCTCTGAGAAAGCCAGAAAGAGCCAGAAAGTCTCTCTTCCTCTGTGATTCTGGGCTGCCAGAAGAGGTGGCAGTGGTGACTTGAGGTGATCAGAGATACATTTTACAGCTGTCTGCTCTGGTTTAATTGCTGAATAATTCATTGTTCCTGCTGGCACAAGGATCAGAAGTGAAAGAAATTTGGTTTCCAGTAACTATGGCTTCAGCTCAATTGGAAATGAGTTTAGCTTGGACAGAGTTCATGTCAGTGCCAAACAGAACTGTGGATCATTTCACTGCATTTCTGATGGTTTTAATTAAAGATGTGAGTGCCAATGCTGTTTAGCCCTTTATTGATGATCTGGATGAAAGGATTGAGTGTGTGGGTGACAGCATCGAGGTGGGTGGGAGTGTGTCTAGGTTTGAAAAGATAGGAGTTTGTGAAGGAAGGCAAAAGC